CGGGAAATTGCTTAAATCGAAGAAACATAATTTCCTCTTAAGATATCATTTTATGCATAATAAGTGGTTGAGAGACTTTGCAGTGACAAGTCAACGCTAATTGGCTTGAGTCTCCTCATTCTTTTTATATCCTCAAATGGTCTCATTTTAGTATTCACACACAAAAATGTACAGAAGAAGCAAATACAAAATCTGTAAAAAGTTTGCTTGATTAGTCAAAAAAAAAGAGAGTTAATGTCTTCGTCTTATTCATTTCTGTTGGCTGGAAGAGAGTTGGATGTGTTCTTGAGTTTCAGCGGTAAGATAGCTCTTGACATCGATTTCGGTTATGATTTGTCTCGAAATGGCATTAAATCTTTCAAATCAGAAAGCTGGAAGGAGAAGAGTTTCAAACCAATTGATCGACCAACACTCGAGGCTTTGACAGAGTCGAAAGTCGCAGTTGTCATGACGTCTGATGAAGAAGCTTCTTCAGTTGGGTTCCTTGAAGAGCTCATAGTAATACTCGAGTTTCAAGAGAAACGTTCACTCACTGCCATACCAATCTTCCTAACGAAACACCCTTTGGATATGGAAGAAATCTCTCAACTATTTCCAGAGAGATCTCAAGTTTGGAGGACTGCAATATCCAAACTGGTCAACATAGCTGCAGAGTATTCACTCTCTCGGAACCTTGCAGTGATGCACGGAACACATAGGATCAAGATGGTTGCTGATGACATTAGGCTTATGTTTCTTTCTTCTGCATCGAGCGATTTCAAAGGTCTTGCCGGAATGGATCGTCACTTGAAAACGGTTTATGAATTGTTGGCTTTAGAATCTGACAAAGAAGTTCGTACTATTGGCATTTGGGGTAGTGCAGGTGTGGGAAAAACAACGCTTGCAAGGTACACTTATGCAGAGATCTCTGTGAAATTTCAGACACATGTTTTCCTCGAAAACATAGAAAACATGAAACAAAAGCTTCTACAGTCAGAAAACTATCAAGAGGAAGAAGATAATCTAACAAATTCAGATCATGAGAGGAATGAAATAACCGAAGCACGGAACAAACACCGGAAAGTTCTCCTTGTAGCTGATGGTGTGAATGGCATTGAACAAGGGAAGTGGATCGCCGAGTATGCCAACTGGTTTGCTCCAGGAAGCAGAGTCATTCTCATTACTCAGGACAAGAGTGTTCTTGAGGACTCTGGGGTTAATCATGTGTACGAAGTTGGGTCTCTAAGATACGATGAAGCTCTTAAACTCTTCTCACATTTTGCTTTCAAGCAGCCATATCCTCGTCCTGATTTCGAACGCCTCTCAGTTCGCGCGGTCCAGCTCGCAGGGTTTCTTCCTGTGGCTATTAGACTGTTTGGTTCGTTTTTAACCGGTAGAAGTAAAGAGGAATGGGTAGCTACACTGCTTAAACTCAATGCAAAGCAAGGCAAAGATATAATGGAAGTCTGGAAGCTGATGGAAGCATCAGAAGGCAATGATATTGTGGAAGCATCAGAAAGATAAAAACACAATAAAAGTAAGAATACTCACCTGTACCATTTTGTTCTGTTTCATATTTCTCAGGATCCTTGATGATAACATGTTGTGAAAGTTGTAAACTTTAGTATCCAAAACTCCACCTCTTCATGTGTTTCTTGAAGCTGTAAGGCTTGTATTGTGACTATTAGTAGATTATAACGATGATTAGTGTTTTCCAGCACAACTTTCGTGGAAAATCAGAACAGAAAGTGCTAGAAACTTGTGATGAGACAAGACAAAGTCACTGTGAAGGCTTCTAAGTGTTATGTATACTAAAGGAAATATCCTCAACCAAGGGAAATATCCAAGAACAGCAGGTATACTAGAAGTTTGTGAGCACAACAACAGGCCACAATTTAACAGCAGAGCTACAAAACTGCAAAAAATAGGCTGGTTTCTGGAATGATTACTCATAATGAGGCGGGTGCTGCTGGGTTTTGCAGAAACCAGCCTTACAATTCTGCAGTGATTACTCATAATGAGGCTGGTTTCTCGTCCAATCGTCCATCTATTTCTTATGGAAGGAGCGTGCTCCGAATAGTAAGAGCATGGTTTGAAGTTAGCTGCTCTATTTTGGTTTACCGTTCTCACACTATATATAGAAACAACAAAGTCTAGAACCTGGGAAATTCTGAACAAGCAAAACATTATAAGAGCGACTAACAAGTGCAACAGATTTAGAGTCAGGCAAGAAAAGTGATCAGAGTGTATCATAAGTGCTGAGCTTCATGAAGATGAAACCAAAAACACTTTGTATGAATAAATAAAGTATTTAAAATTTAATGAGTATTCTGTTGAGGACATAAAAATCTCACTGTTGAGGTCTCGGAAAAGTCCCGG